GTCCAACTTGGACCAATATAACTATGTAAAAATATCCATACCTGGAATTGTTCTTTAATTTCCCTTAACTAGTTAAATGAAAACTACTTATACTTCTTTAACAGACATCTCCAATCAGCTGCAGCTTCTGTCTGTTGTGGGTGCTAAAAACAAGCAGCAGTCACTTAGGCTAGGTGCACATATGTGCGGGTAGTGCCACTGTGGACCCGCACAATAATCCGTGCAGCCGCACCACCCACACAGAAGAATACAGACCCGAGGGCGGGTGCCATTAATTCTAATGGCATGCCGCCCACACTGGAAATCGCAACCGCACTGGGAACCTAGGTTCCCATGCGGGCTGCGGTTTCCAAAGAAGTGCAGGGACTTCTTCCCAGCGTGTCCTGGAGCATGGGAGTCCATTTAAATGAATGGGCTTTCGTGCCCACGCAAAACGCGGCCCGCAAGGCCACATATATGTGAACCAGGGCTTACTGTTTGAGGGGACTAGCAGCTATAACATACACAGAACTGGTATGGAGACATCAAGCCACAGCACAAACGGTAACTTGTTTATTTCCATTCTCCCCAATCTGCTAAGGCTGCATTCACACCTGAGCAAAGTGATTTTCAGGCGTTTGTGAGAGTTTTGTAAATGTGTACGGAAGGTTTAATAGTGTATTACAAGCATTTTACATGTGTATTCAAGCTTCAGGTTTTTCTGCTTTAGAAGGCACTAGGCAGAGGAGATTAGGGGTGGACAGATGCAGTTTTGCTGCAAAATACGCGACAAAACACTTATAAAATGCTCATGTCGAAAGTATGCAAGAGTTCCCAATGAACTCTATGGGGTCAAAAATGCTCCAATCTGCCTGAATAGAAGCTCACATACTTTTTTGAGCAACAGACATTTTGCTACAGAAAATAAAATGTTCAGATATGAACAGGGGACATTGAAAGGAATGGGATTTTTCTTGTTAAGTGTCTTGGAGCTTCAAGCTACAAAACACTCAGGTGTGAATGGGGCCCTAAATGCTGCCAGCTGATTGTAGGTAAGAGATAGAAAACCCCAAACACTAAATGCTCTAATATATTACTGCCTGGTGCAACTAGTTTCTGCATCCAAGACAATGCAAGCCTTGATGTATTAGTAATCAGGGGTAGTACTGCAGACAACACAATCCAAGCTTGTTTGTTTTAATATTTAGCAGGTTCAGCACTTCTCTGGCACCCCACACAGTACACACGCCCTCAATCCTGCTGCAAAGGCCCAAGCACATATGGCAAATCTCCGGGAATACAATAACTGGGAGCCAGGCCCAGGGTGCTGTCACTGAAAAGACAAACAAGCTGAAAAGCCGCATGATATCCCGTAAGACACTGGCTTGAGAACTTTTTCATGTTAAAACAAACCTGCCACTGTATTACACATTCATTTTTCAAAGAACGATTTAAAAGAATCTGCAAACAGAATAAAGATGTGTGTCCATTCAGACTGTCTACACACAGCCTCACTCCATGTATATTGCACTGGACAGTGAAAAAGAAAACAAAGATCTGCATTAGGGTCCATTTTTGCATTGTCATTTACACTATACACATGTAAACATTTGTGCTAAAGCTTACATGGGTACATCAAAAATCAACCCTATTGGCTGCTGCTCAGACCGCCACTGCTGACTATCTACTATTGAGGTTTATATCACCCCATAAAGACATTCATCCAGCGGAGGAACAAGCGCAGGATGACCTTGACCATTTCTAAATGAGTGAAGACTGAGGTCATTCTGCACATGCCATTGAGGGGCAGAAGTGAATATCAATAGCCTTTACATATGGTGATGGTACCGCTAGCTACAAATTGTTGATATTTTTATATATGTTAGCCATGAGTAGCGGAGGGGGCCAATAGGGTTCATGTACACATGTAAAAACATTAGCAAAAGCATTATATTTGTACTTATTCAGACCAACTGAGGTGCTCCTATGCTCAATGTAATGAGCCCCCAATGGTGTGAATTATATAGCAGCAGCATGATTCATTGTTACGATGCATCACACTGCTTACTTGTTTAACCTTATTGAAATGTAAAAAAAAAAAAAAAAAAATCCTATGCAGTGTAGCATATAGCGATGCAACAGCACATTTAGAGTGTGAACAGGCACATAGAAAACTATTGCTTTCTATAAGCCCATGTGCTGAACCTGTGTTTAACAGTGTGAATAAGCCCTAAGCTGGAATGGAATCCAATTACATGCAACCTGTTTACTCACAGTGGCTAAATGGTTAGCACTTCCGCCTGGCAGTACTAGGGTCGTTGGTTCGAATCCCAACCACGGCACCACCTGCCTGGAGTTTGCATGTTTCTCCTTGTGCCTGCGTGGGTTTCCTCCGGGTCTCCGGTTTCCTCCCACACTCCAAAGACATACTGGTAGGTTAATTGGCTCCTGTCTAAATTGTCCCTAGTATGTGTATGTATGAATGTGAGTTAAGGAACCTTAGATTGTACACCCCTTGATGGTTAGAGACTGATGCGAATGTTATATATATATATATATATATAGCGCTGCGTAAATTGACGGCGCTATACACAAGTACCTGAAATAAAAATAAATACAGTCGATGTGATGCAGGGTTTGAAAGAGTTTTAAACGAGAGGCTTTGTGGTACCAAGAATAGTAAAGGTCTTGGCAGAGCAACATTTTAGGTGTGTATCAGCAGCTTTAAAAACTCTCTTACAAAGGGGAGGGAGGCAGTGGACGATACTCCACAGTTTTCAAAATACACAAGCAGGCTAATGCCAATGCCAATATGTGTATGCCTATGGAAGAGATAGTTAAAACTGTAAGGGTAGACTTGGGTGGAGACTGATGTGAATGGATCAAAGTCCTCACGGGGCGTTTGGAAAACTCTGACTGCTGGAAACTGACTGCTAGAAAACGTAGGTGAAAAAACATCAGTTTAGCCGTGTTTACGTTTAGAAGCATTTTTAAAAGATAACCTCAGGAGACCCTCCCAAATGTCCAGAATGCACTGAAAAATAGTAAAATCACTATTTCAGACATTTTGAGAGGATTAGAGAGAGCAGAAGCAGAGAGAGCAGTATGTGTTGAGATTACTGTTTTTTTCTGGTTGTATTCTCTATGGATCCCATCATGGGCATAATACAGCATGGTCTACCATTTTTTCCTTCACACGAAACCTGGAACTGACTGCACTGGTGTACCAGGTCCATTTGAATACATGGAAACCGTTCTGCATGCATTTTTGACAAAGAAAAAAGGCTCTGGTCGGCATCTGGATATGGACCTGTCAAAAACACATCTAAATGCAAACGCGGTTAACTGCATTTACAAGCATTTGGCCTTTGAAACGCCAGTAAAATCTACTCTTGAATGCAATTTTGGTGTGTTCAAGAAAACCACTGTAAATTCAACTGCCTGTAAACGACTGTGTTCATGGACACATAGGAAAACACAAAAGGAGAGTTCAGGGGCTGCTGAAAAAAACGCTCAACAGCTCCTGAACGTCAATTTAGCAGCTGCAGTGTACATGAGCCCTTATAAAGCAAAAGATAACATTGTAATTTTGTATAAAAATTGGAAATAAATAATAAACAGGGCTCAAATTGGGCAGCAATAGGAAGCTCTTTGCCAACATTCTTGGACAGTAAATTGCTTTGTCCTGCCTTCGGGTTAATGGATAACTATTGAGTGATATCCATGCTCACACAAATCTTTAACACATATCTCTTGGGGAAATAATGGAAAAGATTTCAATAACATATCCAAGCATCTTAACTGCAAATGGAAGAGTATAATCCCGGACTATCTTCCACTGTGTGGGAATGTGGTTTTCAACTAAGAAAATGCATATAAGAGCAATTCCCTTTGAGACAATTGATCAGCGCAAGTACTCATGGGAAATTAGAATTTAAAGAGACACTGTCACTTTACCCATTCAGGACAAAGTGACAGTGTCTGCACAGTCTGCACCCTCAGAAGGTAGACATTACAGTTACAAGACGAGAGGATATCATCATGGCACGCACAACTTCCCAATCCCCCAGGAAGATAGTTCAATTTTGAGCAGAGACAAAAATTGCAGTAAATTAGAACCACTTAATTTGCATAAAGTCATGCAGTTATAATTTCTTAGTTAAACATTTCAGAAGCGAAGATACATCTAGCAAGCACTGCACTCATTTCATATCCCTTATCTTTCTGCTGCAAAATGATGCTTTATTTCTAATCTAAAGTTTATGGGAGAGTATTACCTCATAAAAGAAAAGAAATATCTTCTGTAAATACAGGAGGAAGATGCACTCCTGAATTATGAGCATTCCAGCACATGGCCTTGTGTTTACTACCACCGATAAGAACAATTTATTAAACGTTAGTAATAAGAGCTTGGCTAGAAGCCAAACAATAAGGCAAAGTGATTTCAGAATTTCTTTACTCTGGTACAGTCATACCTGAGACCCAAGACTGACTCAAGTAAACTGCCACAAGTCGGCTTAGGTAAGTTTTTAATCACTTCCAGACCGGACACTTTTACCCCCTTCCTGACCAGGGCAATTTTCAGGTTTCAGTGCTATCACACTTTGAATGACAATTGCGCGGTCATGCAACACTGTACCCATATGAATTTACCATTTTTTTGGAGAGAGATAAAGCTTTATTTTGGTGGTATTTATTCACCGCTGGGATTTTAATTTCTTTTGCTATGTAAATTAAATAAATGTCCAAAAATTTTGAAAAAAAAAAAGGTTTTTTAATAAATTTTGCAAATAAATAATATTTAATCATAAATCTTGGCCAAAATGTATTGTGTTATCTTTTAAGTAAAAAAATCCAAATTAGTTTATAACCAAAAATTATCACTTTTAAAATTTTTTTTTACATTTGTATTTTATTTTTTTATATTATTTTTTATTTGGGTTTTTTTATTTTACATACTGTCACCCTAGCAGTACAGTGTCACCATGGTGACATTGTACTACTTGTGGAGGGTGAAGATTTTTTTTTTTTACACCGATTGCTTTTACACCCATATAGGATGTAAAAGCAATCATTCTCTCTCTCTGTCTGCATTCTTGCAGTCACTGAGAAATACTGAGTGAGCTGTGATTGGTCACAGCTTGTCACATGGTACAAGGCTGTTGTGAATAGCCTTGTACCATGTGACCACAAGTGACATCTTGCTTACTACTTTGCATGTGATCACTGATTGGCCAATCAGTGATCACATGATCGGGACCTCGTACAGAGGTCCCGTCCGACGATCGGTGTTTCACTGTGTCCGGAGGACACAGCAGGCACTGGATCGCGGTGCTGCGTGCTCCCAGGGAGTGCGCACAAGCAGGGTGCGGTGAGGCCGTTTATAAACAGCAACCCGACCCTGCACTGCCACCGTCCGGCTGTTTTTTTATATACAACGGCCGGTCGAAAAGTGGTTAATGTTTACGGCACACACTACTAGACATTAATTTAAAAGGAAAAAGGTTTATAATACCCTCTGCTTATATAATGAATGTCTCATAATAAGCCGCTGTGCCTCTGCTTGGACTAGGCAAACTGCGGCTCTCCAGCTGTTGCAGGACTACAAGTTCCATCATGCCTCTGCAAGACATAGGAGTCATGCTTGTAACTTCTGGTCTTTGCAATGCCTCATGGGAAATGTAGTTCCACAACAGCTGGAGAGCCGCAGTTTGCCCACCCCTGGACTAGAGAGTGGTAACTGAAAGCTGCCCTCCAGGCCAGCTGACTGGTCTTGTTCGTGCCCCTTGTAGTGTCACATCATGAAGAAATATGAACATGAGCAGCACCCACGTTAGTAGAAGTAACACAGAAGGGGTCTGCCACACCATAGCCCAGAAAATAGGAGCCCGGTCAGTTACAGGATTGGAGTCTTTAGTTAGTTTAGTTTTTAAAGCAAGAAAAGAAAAAAGGTATTAGCTAGGAACACGTGGAGTGTTTAGGGCAAGTTTTTTTTTTTTTATAGGAGAAAAACAGAGCAAATTAAACCGTCCAGCAGACAGCTGCTATGTCTCTTCTGCAATAATACACGTAACCTGCCTGTTCGCAGTTTTCTATTGAATGTACAAGGAGCTGCACATGCGCAGCTCAGCATGCTTTCCCAGCACATTCCGGCTGTGTCAGAATGACTGATATCCATTTGCATGTGCAGAATGACATCATCCACCAACCAAGAGGGTGAAAACCCAACAGCCAGAGAGAAGAGGACAGAAGCTGGCAAGGGATGCAACTGCTGTATTGCTGGAACATTGAGGGGAGTATATGGCACATACTGGAGTTTAGTTCAGCTTTAACCCATTCACTGCTTTGGTCAAGCTCCTCTTATTTACCTTGGGCAGCTGTGGCTAATTTCCCACTTCCTGTTCCACCTCATCTTTTTTTTTTTATTCTAAACTTTGCCAAGAAGAGTCTAAAGGGAATGCATTAGTAATTTTATCAATATTTTATGCATTTTAAATTTTTGTGGTTATGAAATATACATTTATTTTTGGCCAGGAGGTAGAGCTGCTTCTCTAATGCAACACACTGTATATCAGGGGTGTCCAACATTTTTCCTTTCCTGGACTACATTGGAAGAGAAAGAATTTTCTTGGGCCACACATAATACACAAAATACACTAAGAGTAACCCCTGGTTCACACTTTTGCATGGGCAGGGCAGCCCATTCATTTGAATAGGCGGTCATGCCTCCTGAAATCGCAAGGAACAGGTCCTGTCTATTTCTGAAATGACAGCCAGCATGGACACGAAAAGTGCAGTGCAGTTTTCAGTGCGGTAAAGCTGCTGCTGTGATTTCCAAAGTGTGTTGGTGCCATTGAGATTAATGGCACCTGCACGCATCTCCTGCGTTTTTCTGTGTGGGTAGTTGCGGCTGCGGGAACCACCTGCACAAGTGTGAACTGAGCCTAAGGACAAACAGGTGGAGGGTCTGCAGCCGCAGCACTGTCACATTTTCCAAAAGAGAGGATCAGCAACTCTGTATGTTTACACTCATTAAAATCTTATAATTCAAGCATTCCATAGAAAAAGACAGCTTTAAGCACAGAGATGGTAGAGTAGATGTAACATCTCAGTATTTAAGGCAGTGTTGTCTGTGGAATGCTTGAATAAAAATATATTTTAGTGAGCATATGCATACACAGAGCTGTGGATCCTCTGTTTTGGCAACAGAAATCTGGGGAAGGTGATGCAGCCCTTAATTCATATGGCAATCCATAAATTAAAAGATTTACATCAATCTTTGTTTTGTATCAAACATAAAATTACAAACAAATATGTAAAAAACAGTGGTTTATAAATATCAAAATGTTATTATATAACCATTATGTAACATTCCAACACTATAGAGTTTGCAACAGTCCGACATGTTTCAGAGTAAGTATACTCCTTCAGGGAAGAGACTCTGCAAAAGCGTGATCCGATCTATAAAATTAGGATACAATTATTTAGAGCATATAAGCAATATTCATGGCAACATATATATATACAATGAATTTTACTTATATTAGTATGCAATACTTGCACCATCAAATGACTGACACCAACGTATTGGGGGGCAGAGCCTTATGTTGGTTGCAGACGGGCATGGATAAGTCAGAGTCTGGGCGCCATTGTGAGCACAGGAACTTTGGCCACCTAGATACTCTTAATTGCTGCTTGGGTATTGGATAGAATTGTGGTACTTGGGGTGTATATATAGAGCTTTTGGACCATACTTTAGACCTCTTTTTTGATAGATACAGTCGGTACCTGCAGTACATAGCACTGCTCCATTGTCTATACCACTTTAGGCGAGCCTGGTCTCTGCATTAACATCTTTGGGGGGAACGATTTCCTTCTTTTCTTTCATATCGGAAATGTACTATAATGCCTATAATAATAGATACTTTTTTGCTGGGATAAGTTTCTGTTTTTCTCCTATTAGATGAGCTGATACTGTATTTACATTAATAGTTAATCCACACTGATATGGTTCTTTTGGTGCCATTTTTTCAGGGTCTATTTGGTCTGAGTCTCCCACTCTGTAGATCCCCTTAGGTACGGGGTTGTGCTCACCTATGTTTTATTAAGCAGCTCCTGTGAAGAATTTTTGTACTAATGACGACGGTGGGTGTCTGCTATAATTATCTGGTATTTCATAAAGTAACCAGTGTTTCTTGCTTAGCCTGGATTTATATGCTTTATTATCTAGTCCCTTTCAGCAGCGATTTAGGCAGCCTCAGTGTCTATTTGGAGGGGCCCTGGATGATCAGTAACTGCTGGAGTGTGGACTGGGGAGGAGCAGCGGACCTGACTATATGTTTATGTATGGCAGAGGTTTTTGTTATTCCAATATTTGATGGTGTCAGTATTGCATACTAATATTTGTAAAATCATTGTATATAGATGTTGCCAAGAATGTTGCTTATATGCTCTAAATCAGTGGTTCTCAACCTGTGGGTCGCGACCCCTTTGGGGGTCGAACGACCCTTTCACAAGGGTCCCTTAAGACCATCAGAAAACACATATTTCCGATGTGTAAAGAGCAGCTACTGTGTAGAAAGCAGCTGCTGTGTTGAAAGCAGCTACTCTGTTAAAAGCAGCTACTGTGTTGAAAGCAGCAGTATTGGAGGTAAAACGACACTCATGAATTATAATTACTGGGTAAATAATTTTTTATGGCTGGGGGTCACCACAACATGAGGAACTGTATTAAAGGGTCACGGCATTAGGAAGGTTGAGAACCACTGCTCTAAAATGATTGCGAAAGGGTGATTTGATCTATAAAATTAGGATACAGAGTCTCTTCCCTGAAGGATTATACTTACTCTGAAACACGTCGGATTGTTGTAAACGCTGTAATGTTGGAATATTATATGATGGTTATAGAACATATTGATCCTTATAAACAACTGCCTTTACATATCTTTATTTTTGTAATTTTATATGTTTGATACAAAATAAAGATCAATGTAAACATAAAAATTGCTGCACTGCCTCTCCCAAAAACTACTAAAAATGAAAAAAAAAAAAAAAATAAACTCCCTACTACACAAAAAGTCCCCACAAATGTGCATATACTATAATGCCCCGAGGGCTGGCAATTATATCCCTCCTTCCCAGTGACTAAGTCCTAAATGAACCAATGTGTGAATACAAGGTGGTTAGAGGTCAATAGTGCTAAGAATAGCACATATATAGTGCATAAAGCTCCAGATGATGTCATACGATGAAACGCATAGGGCAGGGCTTGATAGAGCTACACTTGTCCTCTGAGAAGGAATTGCTTTTTGCTGGGATTTAAAGTGCCATACACATGGTTATGTAAGTGCAACTTTAAATGTTTTTTACCCAATAAATACAGTGTTACGCTATGGAAGTTTTCCTGTGATGTTTTTACGGTGGTGGAGAACTGTGGATGATCTGGAGTTTTGCCGCAGAAAATTAATCTATAGGTGTTTCCACTATGGAGTCTGTCATCAGCATATAGAGGTGTCAAGACCACACAGATGGCCAATTTTCCTTCAGGAGAGCGCTGCAACATCTTATGCGATATTTGACTTACCTTTTCAAGGTGGTCAATTATCTGTGGTGAGTGAGGCTCTGGAGGGGGAGCACTACACACAGAGTATTGCTATGGATAAGAAGATTTACTACTGTATCACTTAATATTCACACCGGATGCGGATGATGGTTTATCTAGGTTTTTTTTTGGAACTTTCAACTTTTTTGGTACATTTATATGTTGGAACAAGTATTGGGACATATATATACAGTTGTGTTCAAAATAATAGCAGTCAGACATCACTAACCTGAACAATCACTATTTTTAGTAGAAATTATATATCTACATGGCAAATAATTTACTAGCAGGTGTAGTAGAGTAATAGGAATCAAACAGACCCAACAGTCATGACATGCATGCTGCTGATTCTGTGTAGTTGAATCACTAATTGAAAGGGGCATGTTCAAAATAATAGCAGTGTGGAGTTCTATTAGTGAGGTCATTCATTCTTTGAAAAACAGGTGGCAATTATTGCCCTTTAAGGAAGGAAGGCAGCAAATGTTGTACATGCTGGTTACAGTGCATTTCGCGCTGAAATTCTGAGGAAAATGGGTCGTTCCAGATATTGTTCAGAAGAACAGTGTACCTTGATTACAAAGTTGATTGGAGAGGGGAAAACATATAAAGAAGTGCAGAAAATGATAGGCTGCTCAGCTAAAATGATCGCAAATGCTTTAAAATGGCAGCAAAAACCTGAAAGAAGTGGAAGAAAGCGAAAAAACTACCATTTGAATGGATAGAAGAATAGCCAAAATGGTAAGGACTCAGCCAACAATCAGCTCCAGGAAGATCAAAGAAGGTCTAAAGTTCCCTGTGAGTACTGTTACAATTAGAAGACGCCTATGTGAAGCCAAGCTATTTGCAAGAAGCCCCCGCA